TCTCAAATTCATGTAGTTAAATATGAGACCTTAACCCTATTTTTTCGAATTGGGTTGGGTTGGATCATATTTTTGCCAAATCTACTCAAAATTCATCGTCACGGGTCATGTCTGGGTATAAACCCCACCCATTTTAGATTTGCTAGTTTCTATCACATCAAAATTCATTGTCACAATCAAATGAAGACTTGAGCAAATATGTGAACATGATAATACATAAATAGAATATTTATATAGATATTAAGCATCTGAATAGGTTTCACAACCAAACTCGTATCAAATATTTAGGCGGACAAAGATCCATGAAAGCAAATCCATATCTGACCTGTTTCATATTCAGAGAATGTTCAAAGTAATGGTGTGTGGTAGAAAGATAATACACTTGGATGCATTGGGGAAATTCTTACAAATATGTCAACAACAACAGATTAAAGTTAGAATAAAAATGTACACTAAACAATGTATGGGCCTTCCAATATAGCAAAAGTTCACTATAAGATACATTAAATTGTTGTTGTACAAATGAGTTTAAAGTCCAATTGTGATGCATTCATTAATATTTCTTCATGTTAAAACAAGATTTCAACCAATTATGTTTTCATTGACTCGCATTTCACGAGGTATGCTTGTTATCAAGACTTTAACAGCCTTAAAGATGTTGGTCGTGATGTGTTGTTTTATCACTGGTTCACATTTTTTGTTACGGCATTATCATGTCAATATTTTGAACTTTACTTTGAATTGTATATTCAAGTCATTTTAAGGGGTGTTGGCTAAGTTTGATTTATGTTGGTTTTTTAGATTGTCAGTAAGTAATTTTGTTGTTCTAAAAAAACAAAATCAATTATATTGCCAAACACCCCCTTACTAGTCCAAGCACACGAAACTTTGGTACAAGGAAGGTCATATTCCTCTTCAACCTTCTCCACTTTTTTTTTTTAAATAATAAATTAAATATGAGGCTATTTAAGTTAGAAAAAACTGAATATCATCTAGTGCATCGCCCGGATCTCTTCTAGTCTATTACTATATTCTAAAAGGCAGTTGTCCGTATCAGACTACTCTCTCTTGCTTTCATACTCCCTTAAAAATTTGTGATTTTTTTTTTCACATGGGGGCTACTCACAACCGATTCAATTTCCTTTTTTATTAAAAAACCAGTAATCAAGCACCTGTAAAAATAGTCATAGCTCAAAACCTTGGATAGCCAAATCCTTTACAAAAAAAAGAGTTCGCTTTTGCCTTGAATCACTCAACTTCCATTGTGTTTGCACCGAGCCCATCCCCACTAATTGCCGAGTCACCCAACCTCCCGCACTCCATCCCAAAGTGAAGGCCACTTGTCCACCCAACCCAGATGCCCATCCTGTGGCTTTATTGGTGCACATTGACCTAGCTCATGCTGTCTGCCACTGATTACACTAAGCCACATCATCCAAAGGTCTACGACAATCAAAGATTCTGCTAGCCAATAGACTACTTTCCACCATCCTACTTGAAATTAGTTCATGTGACTCGAGCCATTATCAAACAATGAAGTATCACATGGGTTTTGGTTGTTGGTTTATTGGTTGCAAATGAATTTATAAAATGAAATCATAATAGGGCATTGACTATGACAAAACCATCTATGCACTATTTGTTTCATGTCGGGTCTTACTCAAACTCGGTAACTTGGTCATACATACACCCCACTTGACACTGCAAACTCTTTTTGGATGAAGTTGTCTACACCAAGCACGCGAGAATTTTTCTTTTTATTCATGTTCTAACGCTATCCTGTCTGGTTTGTCTTAGGCACCATCAGCTTAACTAGTAAACTAAATGGAGTGGGGCTTGGATAATTGGGTTTGAAATTGCCACGTTTAGATGATAAGCTGTTCTTTTTTTTTTTTTTCGGTGGAAAGCATTCAACAGAAACTAAAAATATCCTAACATACAAAGCACATATAAAAAAAGGCAGAAAGACAACAATAGAACACCACCAGCCACACAGCTACTTTCTTTTCTTTTTTTTTCTGATAAGCAAATGTAGTATATTCTTAATGTCTATTACTAAATATACATAGCAAGTGGGTATTATGTACTGTGGATATTCCGTAGATTGTTTAGTTCTGAAACACAACAAACCCATTAGATGTTCTTTTAGGGTGTGGCATGTTTTGAAACACAAAATAACCAAGCATTGATGCACACCACAGTAAATTGACAAACCAAAGACAATTTTGTAATAAGCTTAGATTTAATTCAAAATCAACTTGATGTTATTTAACATTAGAAAAGGTCTGATTCCTTAAGATGGTTGATCCTTGAATTGGGTCCAAATGTGGTATCTTTTGCTGGTAAAGATATCTGATGAGTGGTCCAACCATTTTAAGTGGAAGGGTAGCTACCTTGGGTTTTAAAACAAAAATATCTTGAAAGAGGATCTAAAGAACATGCTCATGACTGTTGGGTTAGATCTTAACACAAGAGAAATCTCAAAGGCACAAGAGGGATATCTCACTCATTGTGGATATCAACTCCCCCAGGAGAGCCTAAGGGCCTGAGGTCCAACTGAGATGTCGGAAAGTACCTCAACTCCCTAAATGCAGGCCAACCAATTTTTTTATGTTCATGTCCATTTTAGCATGGATTTTACAACCTAAGGTAGTAGTAATACTACACAGGGTGCCATTCCATGATTCTATCTTAGGTAAGGTGCTTACTAATCCAAGTCCTGTTTGAGTGGCATCCAAAATGTGCTAGTCTGACTGAACCAGTTTTGTGAAGAATCAGATGAAATCCAAGCCATTACACAGTTTCAAAATATCACAACGCGCTCTATTAGGATTTTTGGACATTTTAAAAGTTTTAATCATTAATGTCTTTTTTTTTTATACTAATCACTGCCTGACATCCTTTTACTCTTTTAAACGAAGAGTACAATATCAAACCAATAACTCTTCTCTTTAATAATAGCAAGATTCAAAACTGCGCCACCGCTGGAACAATTCATCCAGCGCACCAACTGGACTACCCCTCAGTTGGTTAATCATTAATGCCTCGTACTATATCCACTGTGAACTTCTGAAAAAACAGAAGAGTTCCACTCGTTCAAAACTTTTGATAATCAAGAATTCTGTAACGAGAGTACCATTACTTTGAAAATCGGATTGGACCGGAAAACCGGGAATCAGTCACCTGACCGGTTCCGTTTTACTCCAAAACCGCTTTTTCCTTAAAACGGTTGATTTTGGTCAGTAAACCGCTGAATCGGCCGGTTAACCATTCAAACGATTTTGACCGTTTTACAATTTTTTAAATCGGACCGTTCGAACCAGTAACCAGACCCCTGACCGATTCGTTTTTAAAAACCATGCTTTGAACCTTGGTCATACATGAACATCACCCTTGTAGACTGCTCTCACCTTCTAGGATAACTGGGTTATAGACCTCACTCTTGTCGAGTACTTGTGCTTGGGTCTGGGATGAAAAACTTCTGTGCTGTATATATAGCTCAATCACTCCCCAGTCCCTAGGGCCTTGAATGGGATAGTTTACTGAGGCATCTCAACAATATAACATTTGACAATCAGCCAACCTCCCAACACTCAACAGTAGCAATCACTAAGTTATTGCTAAAGCCATACATCTCACCAGACAACTTGGAACTCCAGGTTATGGCCCACTCCAAGATATGCAACAACATGTGGGGTTCATTGAGGAAATGGGCATCAGGTTAATCGTACAAAACACCAATTTTAATGGTGCCTCTAAGTTGGAAAAAATTTGGTTTGCGATTGAAAAGTTTGTTGAAGCTCAGTGCAGCTCCTGTACGTGGGTCTCAACACTGTTGCAGAGATTTCAACATAGAACAAATCGTCAAAAATTGACCTACAGAGTACAGACCCAACATAATTCCCTTGACCCATCAAAAGTTCCAGCTAGTAGGTTTGCTGGAACGCAGTATACAGGCCATCCATGGGAAACCTGCTTCAAGTACCTGATCGAAAATCACAGATGGAATTATTTATGAATTTCACCAATCGTGGGAATTAACATATGAGATCATGCAAGAACATGCAATTACATTGTTGATAAGGTCGCATACAAGATAACTGTATGCCCTCAGACACATCCGAGGGAATACCAGAATAAATGTAAAAAATAGAAGGGGGAAAGATATGGAGCAAAAGATCCTTTTTTTCTTTTTTTTTTTATTTCAACACTGGTGAATTAGCCTCAGAGATTTGCTAGTTGATAATTAGTCTTGGTCATTAGGAAGTCTAGATCAACGGAATCAATTAAAATAATGTTCAGAGGTGCTTGCCTATTTCTAATAGCAAGATAAAGATGACAGATACTGATTTAGGAGGGAGACTTAAGCCTATGTTTGGTTTGAAGGAAAAAGTAGGGAAAGGAAAGAAAGGAAGGGAAACCTTTACAAATCTTGTATAGGTTTGTCTGCATTTCCCTTCCTTTCCCTACTCTTGCCTTCAAACCAAACATAGCGTAAAGAAAAGAAATTTAGATCACAATGACTCTGAAACAACTCAATACTATCTCTCATCAGGAACTTCAATTGGAAGTTGGAACCCACAAGTTACAATACCTCACCAGTCACCACCCAAGAACATAGGAAGAAATCAGCAAAGATAAAATCTCTGGGGTAGAAATATCCAGCAAGTACTACATATAATTTGCTAAAACCCTATCTATTTACCCAAAAGTTGGACAATGAGGGACAATGGAAATTAAGTTAGTCCATTAGAAGTCATATCTAGTACTAGAACAACAGCACACTGTAAGATCTATAAACAAGATTAAAAGAGAAGGGCAGTATGAAAAGGCCACTCAAGGATAAAAACCTATATCAAGGACCGCCAGAGAAAGAAACTGAAGCATTCAAGTGTAACATGTAATCTACATACCCACCCAACAAGAGAATTCTAAATCTTCCATTATAAATGATCTCAAGAAACTCTTCTTAGTCTGAGGGTCTAATACCACATTGTGGATAAAAGTTGAAAACTACAAGCTTACGATTTATATCACAAATTGTATTATCAATTTACAGGTGTATTATGCTAAGATCAAACACTAGAAGGTAACCACATGGACCTTCTCATGGTAATAGAATAATTTACATCTTCTGAAGATAAATCAAGAAAAAAAGTACAAAATTACACCACTCTGCCTATACAGTTACAATGAAAGGAGGAGCCTGAATGAATTCACCTCATTTATATGTACTGAAGCCTATAATCTTTATGACAGGGAGAATGCTTGTTCTGAAACAGAGGCTAGGCCCTGCATCAATCTAACAATTTCTACTGTATCATCAAGATAATACTTGGCCTTGCTGGGTTTTCGACCAACAGTACATGCAAAAACTTCTGCATAAGGAGCTAAAGATTGGCCTGCAATGGAACTGGTTATCACTTCAAACATGTCTTCATCAGATCTGTCATCTCCTATGCAGAGCACAAAATCCGGCACCATTCCTTTCTCCTTCATGGTGGAAAGTAGGCGTTCAGCAACAAGTCCCTTGCTCACCCCCTGCACATATAGAGACAACCAGGATTAGTATGTGCTGATGGTGATCCCTCAATGATGACAGAAACCAATAACTTGATAAATGGATATGACTCCACACCTGTGGCTTAACCTCTACAATATTCTGCCCACTCTTGACCGAAACTGGCTCATTAGCAAGGACACTCTCAAGATGATCAAGAAGTTCCTTAGCTTGGCAAGATCCAAAATCAGTATCCGCATCCTCATAACACCATACCAATGCTGTCTCCTTGTCCTCAATTGTGGATCCATCAGTTGTTTCTGTGTACAGCTTCATCACAGGCTCAGCTATCTGTTTCCAACTGCAATCTGACACAGGAACACATGTTTCCCATTCAGCATCTCGCTTCAACCTGGAATCATTTAAGCACCAGTTCAACTCTCACATGCGGTTCAAGTTTGTAAAGTAAAGACACAAAATGCAGATTCAAAGTTTAACTCACCTTAGAAAGTAGCCATGCTCTGCAGCAATCCCCAGTTTCTCACAGGGAGAAAACCATTCACTGAGATCCTTCCGGCTTCTAGCACTTACAAGGAAGACCATGTTATTCTCATCTCTACACAAGCTGTTTAAGATCTCAATAGATTTAGAGTTTGGACTCTTATCTATAGAACCCTGAGGCATCAGAGTTCCATCATAATCTAAAAGGATGGCTCTAGTTTTGGTCCTTTTATAGGCCGACACTATGTGCTCCATTGAAAGCTTCCTGAAGTTTGGGTCAAGTGCCACAACCCTGAAACCCAAACCAAATCCAATGCCCCAGCATCTCCGCCTCACATGACCCTTGCATGTTCTCTCCAAATCCTGTAGGAAGCTATGTGCCCAATACCCAACATCATGAGTACTAACATACCTATAATGTTTCTCATGCCTTAGTTGTTTTTCTGGTTCTGCCATCTCAAGGGCGCAGTCCATTGCTTCTGCCACAGCATCTATGTTCCATGGGTTAACTCGGATCGCTCCACTCAGAGAGGGTGAACACCCAATGAACTCAGAAACAACTAACATGCTCTTCTTAGGAGAGGACAAGCCCAGCCCCAAGACTTTATCCAATTTCTCATTCCCTTGCCGACTAATGATATATTCATATGGAATGAGGTTCATCCCATCCCTCACAGCTGTAACCAGACAACATTCAGCAACCACATAATATGCAATTCTCTCAAAGAACTGAAGCGGTTTATCAATCAGAATAACAGGTTGATATCCAGGTTGCCCAAATGTCTCATTAATTCTTTTCACAGTTGAGTAAGTCTCATCCTGCACTTCCTTCACATCTTTTCCCCTTCCCCTGGCTGGGTTTGCTATCTGCACTAATACCACCTTCCCCCGCCACTCTGAGTGCTGCACGAGCAATTGCTCAAAAGCCAACAACTTCAAGGTAATTCCCTTGAATATATCCATATCGTCCACACCAAGTAGCATAATTCTTCCTCTATCAATGAAGTGCTTGATGAGCTCTGCAACCTTGGCTTCTGTTTCTGGAAGACTCAATACTGACTGGAGCTGACCCATGTGGATACCAACAGGGAGGATCTTAATGCTCACAGTCCGACCATAATACTCAAGCCCAATATAACCCCTCTTTGATTCATAGGTGAGCCCAAGCATCCGACTACAACAAGACAGGAAATGCCGGGCATAATCAAATGTATGGAATCCAATCAGATCAGAGTTCAACAAGGACCTCAATAATTCTTCCCTGACAGGCAATGTCTTATAGATCTCGGAAGAGGGAAACGGACTGTGCAGGAAGAATCCAAGCTTCACCCGATTGAACCTCTTCCTCAAGAAAGTAGGCAACACCATCAGATGATAATCGTGGACCCAGACGAAATCATCTTCCGGGTTGATCACTTCTAAAATCCTATCTGCAAAGATCTTATTTACCGACACATACGCTTGCCACAGTGATCGGTCAAAACGGCCGCCTAGGTCCGGGGAGAGCGGTAACATGTAATGGAACAGCGGCCATAACTGTTGCTTGCAGAACCGATGGTAGTATCGGCTAAATAGGTCAGATGGAAGAAAGGTAGGAACACATTTGAAGGTGTCAAGTAGGATCTGAGAGACCTCATCCTGCTCACTTGGGTGAATCTCCTCCCTGAGGCAACCTACATAGATGACCTCAACTTCGTCGTCCCCAAGACGGTCTTTCAGCTGGAGAAGAAGTGAATCTTCCTCCCAGCTGAAAGTCCAGCCCTTGTTATCTGGTTTTCTATGGACCCTAATCGGGAGCTGGTTTGCTACTATGATGGTTCGTTCACGAGGAGCAGGGGAAGAAGGATCAGAGGAGACGCTATCATCTGGGTCATCATCCAAGTCTGAAATTATGCCGGCTACCGTCATTATACGGGGAATTCTCCGGCTCATACGCCCGAAGGATGGAGACTCGCCAGAGGCCAGCTCCAAGAGATTCGAATAAGGTCTTGATACCATTGTCCTACTTCTTCCGAAATTAAAAGAGAAAGAAAAGCAAAAACAAATTCAACACAACTAAAAGCTTTTAATGACTAAGCGAGATAGACGAAGAATACCCCATTAATTGAACTACGAAGTCGAATTGCTCTACACTCTCAAGAAGTTTTGCTTGGTCTCCATTTCTACTAGAAGAAACATCAATCAAGATCTTATCCTCACGAGTCCATACAAATCTATAACCAAAAATACAAAATGGGTCAGAACACCAAGCTAAGAAGAGCTGAACAACAGCGTAAAACGATTAAAAAAACTCTTTTTTTTCCAAAATGAATCTCAGAACACTGAAACAAGTTAGTGAGTTACGGATAAACTACTGGAAGCCCGATAAGAATCGAATCAATTCAATTCATACAGCTCAGAAATCTACTGGAACCCCGAAGCACAACAATAAAATAATCCATTAATAGATTAACCGGCGAAAAGAACAACAAACAAAACCCAGAAAGAAGTTGCAAGAAATTACCGTGACCGGAAAACCAAATCCCAGAATCATGAACCCTATTAATCGTCCTACTCTGACTCACCCTAATTTCTGGCACCATTTGCTACCTGCATCGACGTTCTTATAGAACCTACAGAAACCTCTCTCTCTCTCTCTCTCGGCTCTCACTAGTCGCTACGCTAAGTCGCTAACTACTGCCACTAAGCTCAAAAATATCGTAATTTTAAATGAAAATAAAATAATTTTCTTCGGATTTTTTAAGCAGAAACAGAAATAATATAAAATAATCAGCTTAAAGTGGGACCCACATCATAGCTGTCTTGCTTGTGCCAACTTCAAATGTTCTGTGCATTGATTCGCTTTACGAAGTGTAATGAGTTACGTGGCAAGTTTATGATGCTTCACGACAGGACTTGTAGGGATGGCCCCAATCGGGTGGGAATGGGGATGATTTTTCCCACAGGGACGGGGATGGAGAAATTTTCATCCCCTGCGGGGACCCCGATCCCCGCCCATGTGATCCCCAATATATATATATGAATGTATATGTTATATATGTACACGTACGTTTATATATTAATGTTTTAAAATATAGTTAAATATGTTTGAATTTTTATTAATAGATTATAAATTTTAATTATTTTATTTTTATTTTTTAAATAAAATAAAAAAATAAAAACAAAAATATTAACATTATAAAAAATTACAGGGAATGGGATTTCCACGGGAATGAGGATGGAGATAACCTTACCCCGTTAGCGGGAATGGGGATGGGGATGGGGATGGGGAGAGGCTCCCATCCCCGCCACACCCCGTTGCCATTCCTAGACAGGAGATTGCAGGCCTCAAAATTCGGGGTCTCACAACAACCAATTTATCGGGATAATTCCGACAACTAGCATTTCGTGCGGTACCATGTTATCTGCCGATACGTATCGGGCAATACTCGTTCAACGGTTCAAGTCGATTCAACAATGTCAGTCCCACAAGGAAATGCGTTCCGAGACCGGATCTGCTCTTCATAGAGGGCGCCTCACACCGACCTTATACGCACATCTTACCATGCGTTAGAAACATCTCCCGTGTTTATAACTTATTATTCACGGAAAATGTTCCCAATGCACGGTCGACGTTCTTGTGAGGCGTCCTGTGTTTCCCACTAGATCGAGCTCAAATGATTACCGTTGTTGGGCGGTGATCGACTCTACGGGGGCGTACTCAATGAGTAAGGCGTGAGCACTCTAATGTGTTCGTTGCTTATTGATTGAAATTTTTGGTATCAACTATCAACCAATGCGTTATAAACACGATGGGGCGCTCGCCGCTCAAGACTCACGAGAGTGCGCTCATCCGATCAACAACAGAACAGTCAGGCGTAAGAGCGGATAGGAATGGTCAGCACTCAACACACTCTTTTGGTCAATTAGGATATCACTCCGTACGGTGGGTCCCACGTACCAAGCTGACAAGGCGTATCGTATGACCCACCATGCATCCATGCGTAACTCTGAATGCGGGACCAGAAAAGGAACGTGGGCCCAATCCGATCGCGATTCGCGAGGGTTGAATTGAAATTTCGAAAATAATAATTTTTTATGCAGGTTTAAACTTGAAACTGGAACCCTAGTGGTAACGAGTTCACATCTGCGCCCTACGGTGGCCCACAGCACATTCTCGCCGTGTATTGAGAACATGATAGTATCAGTTTCGGTGATGTATCATCGAGAGATATTCTTAATATACGGCGGAGATGTACTGTCGGACACTGTGGGGCGCAGATCTGAACTCAATCGTAATTCGTAAGAACAACTTTGACGGATGAACAGTTGGCACGAGTCCTCATAAGTTCGTAAACAATTTTTTTAAAAAAAAAAACAAAAATATACTTATTTCTGTGGGCGTCGATCTGTGTACAATGAAGGGCTGGGTATGAGAGAAGAAGTGTAAGGCCCACCAAGAGAGAGGGGCACGGTCCAAGACCAAGAGTAGAGAACGCAGAGCGTAGGTCAAAACTCAAAAGCCAAAAGGCACGATAATCGACAGAGAGCATGGCCTAGAAGTGGCAGATATGACATATGAGTGATTGACGCAATTCTCCACGGCCTATCTTTTCTCCTACAATATGGGCCTCATCAACTCTATTTTTTTTTTCTTTTTTTCTTGTGAGGCTGAATGTTTTGCTCCTCAATCGGACCGGATTGGGTCCAATCCGCTACAATTCAATGTGAATTCATTATAAATGGATTAAGTTCGATTCAATCTAATAAATATTTTGGACCGGTCCAATTCAATTCAAACTTGGTTTATTGACACATATATTCTTATCTTATATCAATGGATCTGATATTGACTCAATCCAACCCAATCCAATATAAATGTATAATGGGTGGATTAGGTCCAATCCAATAAATACTTTGGATCATTAAGTTTGGATTGATCCAATCTAATATGTCTTATTGGTCTGTCCAATCCATCCAAATTAATTTTGGTTTGGACAGGGTCCATTCCAAAATCGGTCCATTGACACCCTTACTTGTATTGTTGATATTGTTTTAAAAGGCTTAATGTTGGATTTTAATCTCATAAGAGATTAAATCCAATGGGTTTGATTGGTCAGTTACATGAGAAATTGCAACTGTACACTTGATTGAAAAAATAGTTTTTCTCTTACAAAACTTAGTTTTGAACTTATCCCATATTGGAAAATTGCAAGTTTTGTTTTCAGTATTTTAATAGGAACTTATTTACACTCCTTAGAAATAGTAGAAGAGAATATGGGGGTTTGATACCACGCAACGCGCGTGCACGCGTGTGCAACACAATGAGGCGCTTTAGAGGCATACCAAAACCAATGCATGGGCGGCTTTGGTTTTGGTGCAATGCTGACCGTTGATGAGATCAACGGTCATGATTCGATTGGGTGTGATCAAGAGGCACAATTCAAAGTTAACAGTCATTAACTGTTAACTACTTTTTAAACAGTCACAATGTTTAAAATTGTGACTGTTCAATGTGCCTTCTCTGAACCATCACCTACATTTTCTTCATACCTCTTCATAAACTATTTAAGGAGCATGAATCAGACTTCAAAAACACACATTTTTGAAATCCACTTTATCTCTCTCTCTCTCAATCCGGTCTGCTACAGTCTCACAGAAGGTTTTTTCGGAGATTCTTCAACTTTGCTGGTTGTAAATTCTCGCCCAAGGCTCTGTTGTATCCTGGAAACGGATTTGCCTGTAACCCAACAGCAAATTCAATGAAATTGAGTAGGGGCAAATAACGTTTTAAAGACAGTATTTTCAAACGCACTTCAAAGTTTTTCCTCCAAAGTTACAGTGACCCCATTTTCCAACACTTAGGCTGTGAGTTATACGGCAAGGCAGTTCGATTTTGCCTCTAAGCCTCATAATTTTGGATTGAGGCTGAAATCTTTGTCAGGATGAAGTAGAAGTCTCAAGCCTCAAGGCGTGAGGCATAACATGGGGCGCAAAAAGGCATAAGCCTCAAATGTCAACATTATTTAGTGATTTGATGCAAAAAAAATAAACATATTTTTTTTTGTATTTTATATAGTTCAAACTTCAAAATATATAGAAAACGCACTTTAATAATTATGGGCTAAATAAAAAGAGTAAAAATGAAAAACCAATCAGGTAAATCAAGTTCAATTAATTAGTTTCTCTTAGTATTTTAGCCTAAGATAGTTCAGTGCAAAAAAGGGCCAATCAAGCTATTAGTTTTCTTGGATAAATCAAGTGGAATTTTCTTAATATTCTAATTTAACATCCCAAGTTTGTTGCTTTTCTCATTTATTTTTCTAATGGATTTATTTTTCTTTTTATTGATTTTTTTTTTGCATAGATCAAATCAGCTGCATTGTTTCCTTTCTTCACAATTATTGGATGACCATAAATCTAATGCCCATTATATATAGATGATTCTTCATATGAATAATGTGGTAAGGTTGCATTTTGAAATATAAAACGCAAAATGCTTATAATTGTTAGATGATTAATTATTATTTTATTTAATGCTTAAAAGTTAAAGCTTATTGCTTAAAAACTTCTATTTTATGGATATTTGTACCTTCCATCATTCTAACTTGGTATATTACATGCTATTTTTATTATTTATAAATTTAATTACTTTTTTCTTGATTTTTGAGACTTATGTCTATCTTTTGAGCCACTATGCATTAACTACACCTTAAGCCTTTTAAAACCTTTAACATTTGGTCCAAAGATACATTTTTCTAAATTCACATATTAGGATTCTATTAATTCAACAAACTTTGTTTTATGTAAGAACAACTTTTTTTTGTAAGATTTTATTTTCCTATTTATGGATTTATGGACATTTTTCTAAAATTATTGAATTTGTTTTAATTCAATTGACTTTCTATTTTTTTTCCTTTTTTTTCTCAAAAAGCCCTACATTAGGAAATTGCATTAAAAGGGAATATGCCTCGGCTCTTTTAGGTCATTTTTCAACAATCCAACTAGGGCTGCTTTTACTGAAAAACAAAAAAAAAAAAAAAAATTAATAGGGCTGCTAGAGTTTCAAGCTGCTTACAACGAAGACCTGGAACTAAATCCCATCTTCACCCATGTTGAGGTGTCCAAGGAAAGTTTGGATCCGCTGATCACAATACATTGTTGGTCATAATCATTCAACCATACATTAAGAACATCTCTTATACTTTATATCACGGATATTCCCAATCTGCAGCTAGATTAACATGGCCAATCATGTGTTATACTAAGAAGGGTGACCCCTCCTGTAATCCGTAGGCACCCCAAGTAATCTAGATAGGCTGAACATACTGTTTAAAGAGAGTGAAATGAACCTATTAATGCACATTTCTCACCCCAATTGAAATGTGCATTGAACCTATCCGTATTTTTCAAAAACATATTAATATTAGTGTTCCTTCATTGGATTTGATGGGTCATATTCACAGAGAGGCTTCCTCAATTTTTTGAAAACTGAACCAGATATCGACTGAGATACGCCGCCGATTCATTGATTGAACGGTTTGATTGTCACATCAATTAAACAATACAAATAAAATAACAAAAAAGTGCAAAAGACCCACAAATCCACCCAGTGGGTTATGGTTCAACCAATAATACCATTGGTTTTATTTTTATCAGAGAGAGAGACGTAAACTTTCCAGAACTCACACACTGAAAATCCCA